AAGCATCTTTCCCTAAACCATCGGAGAAATCTCACACTCTTACTTGCTTTAGGCAACTTGGATTTGGAAGTGACAAGTCCATTCATTTTACCCAAATTTATTTTTTTTAAAAAGTCCTTCTCATCAACTTTACAGAAGACAAAATTAAAGTCAGATAAGGGAATTAATTGCACAGGCAGAACCCCAAACTCATTTTTGATCCCAAATTACTGGACCTCTCACTTTTCCATATAAATGAGCCGCTCTTACAGTGCAAAGGACGATTCTAAACAAATGCTTTGATATAAACCACAGTCTTGACTGGAAGAGTGGGTCTTACTAGGTTTTATTTTTTTTCTAAGTGATGATGGTAAGTACTGCTCAAGTCTTTCTGTTTCCCCTTTTAGTAAACATGCTGAGCTAGGGAGCTGCTGGCTGCTCCTCACTGCCCCCAGCACCTAAAGTCCAGTCCAGCCTCTCTTCCGAGGCCAGCCAGCTGGCACCCTCTGAACCCAGGAAAGGAGGATGTTCTCGTCCTCACCCAGGGCTGATCAACACACATTCCAAGCCTATTTCGTAAACTCCGCAATTAGCTTTCCTTCCAAACATGATCCCCTAAAACCCTGAGACATAAGAAAATAACCATCTGACCACATGCTTTTCTCTATATAGTTAAGCCAACAGACTTTTCCCCAATATGTAACAAGCTACTGTGCATGCTTCATGAAGAGGTTGAAGCACATGTGATACCCAACTTTTCCAAGTTTTTGTTCTCTAGGGTTTAACATACTAAAATGGACTGTAGGTCTCCAAAATAATTGCATAATTGTGACAGTAGAAATCCCTGCCACTGGGACAATGTGAGCTTGGAAATGTTGCCTTCAAATTTGACTCCTTGGCAAAAGAAAAGCGTAACAGATAAGAGACTATTGTGTGCATAAAAAGTGTGACCCTGAGGAACAAAGGCTAATGGCGAGTAGGATTTGGGCTACTCTAAATAACTAAAGAGTCACAGCTACTTGACCTTGAAATCAGAAGGAAAGATTGAAGATCATCAACCAGCTGCCAGAGAACACATTCTGGAAGATCTGTTTAAATAGGGAGTAATAATAGTTTCCAGGCACGACACCAAATATTCTGTACATATTATCTCATGTAAAACACAGCCACCACTGTGGGCAGTCACTGCAGGAAAATGATTTTCCTATTTGTATCACTCATAAAAGGGGAAAAAAAAAACAGGACCATTAAATAAAGTGACACAAGTGTGGAGCGGAACTGGCTGAGTGGTCTGTGTGCTTAGCTGCACACCCAGAGGGATTCATGCTCACATCAGAACTGTGTAAGGAAAATCCAAAAAGGTTCTCTGTGGGACTTTCTTAAAGGACCCCAGACCTGAAGAAAGAGCATGAACAGACGAGAGACAACAAAGGGCACCTGTTCTCAGAAGGTGCCTCCATCTGGAGGACTTTGAGACAGAGAATAAGAGCCACAGTGGAGACTGACTAATCCTGCTGGCTCTCTGGGAAGTAATTATTGTCTCCTAGTCTCCATAACTCCTGGCACATTTTGACAAGAAGACCATACACTTTCGGCCCATAACCCTCCCCCTCTCTCCCCCTCTCTCTCTTTAGAGACAAAAAGTGTGATTTTGGGTGGGTGGGAAGGTGGGGAACACCTGGGAGGAGTTGGGGGAGGAAAAACTATAATCAGAATATATTGCATGAAAAAATATTTTCAATGAAAAAGATTCTTTAAAAAAAAGAGTGCTGAGACTCTTACATGGTAGGAATTTGGCTATCTGTGTATTTGCAATCTGAGAATGGTTTTGAGGAGAGGGGCATGCAGATGAAGGGATGGGGTAAGAGCTTAAAACACCACCTGTCCACATGCTTGAGTTTCAAGTAAAACTTCTATTGTGAAAGTAACACTCAGGGCACTCACGTCAGCACCAGTGCCGGCTCCTTGACACTGCCCAGGGCTGCCGCGTTAGTGTGCCATCTTTGGGTACACAAAGAAAGTAGCATGTAGTACATGAAGATTTTTAGGAACCAGGTAAAACTTTTCTGTTTTGAAAGTTCCATCTTGAAAAGGGCTCCCTAAGAAACACAACATCACACTGGAAAACAACACGTATGTCTGTAAAGTTCTGTGGCAGACACATCCCCTCCTCTGTGGACTAAAACCAAGTACTGGAGAGTTTGAATGGAAGCAAGGACCAAATTAATGTGTTCTGAATCCAAGGGAAGAAGGCGGAAATTAATTTACAACTTTCCACGTCTAATATAGAACTTCCCTCTTCTTTGCTGGTTAATAGTGTGCTATAAATGCTCTTAGTGATGTGCCATAATGATCACTTTTTACATATGGTATGAAAATATTAAATCAGGCACTTGGTAATTGCTCTAAGCACATGAAAACAGTAATTTGTTCCCAAACACAATGCTTTCTTTTAAACTAACTTGAACCGACAAAGCATTTGGATATTTAAAGAGGGAATTTGAAAATGGTACAGTTTTCTTCAATCACATAACTGTGTAACCTTAGGAAAATAACTAAACATCTCACACTTTTTCCTCGACCCAGTGTCTGATGAGACAATATGAGTGGAAGGTCTTTACAGAACTATGAAAGTACATCACCCTTGCCTGGTGACTAATCTCTTTTGGCAGAACTGAACTGAAATGGACGATTGAGTGTAGGGGGATTACTTTCTCCAGAGTTACCTGGATGCTTTACACTTCTTGTTGACTTCTACTTTGGAAGAAGAAGCCAAAAGGTAGGTACTCTTTAATGCCTTTGCAAGATTATTAATATAAAGTAACTCACAAACACTAGGGATTAGTAAATGTGAGTTAGGTTTTTGGATGATAATGTAATTTTGTAAATATCAAAACCAAGTCAAGTAAACACGATGGAAGTTATAAGACTGTTTTTTAACGTATTCTGCTACAGTGAAAACAGGAAAGAAACCAGCTGGGCATAAAGCCGATAATTGCTATGATTAATGCTATTTCTAAACTCGACTTCTTTAAAAATAAATCACTTCATAATTTAATTAGGTTTCCATCTAGAGAAAAAGTGCTAATAAAAGCTCAGATAAGAGAATGTAGGTTTGGACATAATCGTAGGGCTTAATTTTTTATCTACGGTTCGGCTCAAAGTCATCAGAATGACTTTTATATCAAAGAGCCCCAGTGAGTGACAAGAGCAAGACTTGCTTTGTACTGGCTAAAAGTCATTATTCCATGAAATAACTTCAGCCTGCCAAGATGAGAAAGAATAACAGATGCTGTTTTTGCGTTATCTGCATTATTTCCACCAGTCATCCTTAGACATTTGGGTCAAATTTCTAGAAATTAGTTACTTGCATTTGACAGAGGAATCATGTATCCTAACCTCTCAGTTTGACCCTTCTAATTGGCATCCATTTATAATACTTTGCTTTCTGTAGCAATTATCCTCATGCCGGCCCAAGTTTCATCTGTTTTTGTATTGCACTGGTGCACAACTCATAATATTTTCAGTGTTAAGATTTTTTCATCCCACAGCAAACAAACCCATAAGAGGTGATTTTTTTTTTTACTTGTTTTATACATTTTGACGCTGAGATTTTGAAGGCTTTTACAACCTTAAAGTAGAACGGGAAAAGTCACTGCTTTCCAACCGGGATGTGAATTTTTAGGGATCAAATATTATTCTTAACAAAATGAGATGTCTGACTTTTACCCATGGTGATACAGAATATTTTCCCACTTAAATATGTGTAATGTTACTTTTAGTTGTTCAGTCATAGCAATCATTTAAAAAAAAAAACTGTGTTAGTCCTCGCAAAGAACCCAGATATCAAATAAAGTGCTTTTATAATTTTTGAAATTAATGACTAAATAGTTTAACAAAGGGTTTCCATTTATCTTAGATTGTGGTTTGCTACATCTACATTATATTTAGTTTATTGCATATAATAATATACACTATTTATTGAACACTTACAAGGTACCAAATGCTATCCTCAGTACTTTCTATGTACTATCTCACTAAATCCCCAAACAGCCACAGTGTTACTTTAGATGCAATGGAAAGGAAACTGTAAGAGTTTTACATATACAAATAAGTGGAATTCTGATTGGATTCTTAAAGTTCTATAAAGTAAAAGGCCAAGAAGTGTCCATTGATATCACTCTTAACTTAGACATTCTATCTACTTTGAAAATTGCGAAAGGAATAGTCAGCTATTCATTTACTATTAATTAAAGGACTGCCTTTAAAAAATAATTGCCTTTTAAAATTATTTAGTGTGAAGAAATCTGATATCACAAAAACCCTAAATTACTTTTAAGTGTAAAGCCTATACACTAATACAAATAAATAGAATCTGGATGTACTAAGAGCCAAGAAATAACTAATTTGTAAACTGTAAATCGTAAAAGTAGTGTGAAGGAATATTTTCAATTCGAGATTAGTATTAAGTAATTATATTTGATGTGACAAAATACAAGATGGAAATTCCCCTAGCTCATCCAGTACAATTTCTTTCTGGGAGCTAAGGGGGTTTGCAATCTTGGTTTTTGTCTCTTACTCACTTACATGGAAATGTATATTACTTAGACCACATTTGACATCATGAATAACCTATAAGATCAAATAAGGACTCTATCTATTAAACACTCAGACCACCAGGTAAACATGGAAAGTTAAAATGCAACAGAATAGCATGTTGCCGTGACAAGTCTCACCCAGACCCTACTAGGAAACTAACAATGGCAACCAGTGTGCCAAGGCTACTTCTAAGTACATTTATCCTTTACCATTTTAAAGGTTCTATATATTTTCAAGTAAGTTCAAATGATTACTTACATACAAAATTGTTCATACATACATAGAGTTTTACCCCCAAAAATTAAGTTCCATAAGCAAATTGTCTATCTTATCTACCAATTTTGAAAAAAAATCAATTCATCTTTGTTACAAATGTAAAATCTCCAGAGCACCTTTAACAAATATAAAGTGGTTCTACTTACACTTGCATGGAGTTTTCCTTTTTTTGACATCGCTAAAAATTTGTTGCTGAAAACTCCTCGTATTCCTACAATCCCCTGAGACACAGCAAATATTTCCAAAATACCTAGGATGACAAAAATCCCAAAATAAAACACAGACTCTTCTACACAGAACTGTGAAGAATTCAATGTCTACACCAACTGTTCTCAGTCTTCACTACTGTGATTAAAGAAAAGAACACACAGTGACCTTTCGTGACATTCGCCATGTTAAAGAATGGCTACCATCCGAGTGGACACTCAGGATGACTTATTTCCAGATTCTGAAATTTGATTCCGCTTCCTCAATAATTCTGTATTTGCAAATGGTAGGTGGCTTTTAGTAAATAGCGTTTGACATTAGACTCTTTTCAAATCCTAAAGGTATTGAATTTAATCTTAACTTGTTGCTATTCTACCAAAGATGATCTACTTTTAGTATTAAAACATAAGTCTAACTTTAAAGCTGGTATAAAAAATTCAAAAGCCTGGAAAATTATTCTTTCTTACATAACACAAATCCCCTTCTTTCAATCATCACAATTTAAGAACTTAAATACACATATGGCACATTCAGTCCTTTAAAACCATAAAAATTACACCTGATACTGAAAACATTATAAGTTATTACTACTTCTGTGAATTGTTTGGTGAATTATGTTTTGAGAAATGCTAGATTTTAAATCATTTCCTAGATATAAACGTGATGATTTTTATAGCATTGTCAATGTATAATGCAGCATGTCTGCACGTCAACGCAATGTCCTTCATCCCGTACAGTCATTTCAAGAACCATGTGTCAAGTCAAGAAACTGTTTACTGTAATTCATGGAGTGAATATGATTAAATGTGTATTCTGTATATAGTTATAAAGCCTGCCCATTATCAATAATAAAGTCACAAAAGATTTTATGCAAGTATGAGAAAGGACAACATTCTTGTTAGTTAGACATATGAAGTTGAATATATATATATATATAAACAAGATAATATAGTTCATTAGAGCTGAGAGAAAAAAAAACACAGAGGAGGAAAAAGCACATCTCCACACTTGGTCACAACTGTTTCAAGCATACATATTAACTAGAGATCTCAGTAGATCTCTGCTGAGATGACACCTCCTTCAGTCTTCCTTGAAATAGCAATCTCCCCGGGCAGAGTCTTCTAACAAGGACTCTAAGTACATGTAGATGAATCAATTTACTGAGGACTTACGTCCCACAACACAAGCTGAGCACCTCTCATTGTCACAAATGTTACTGCTTGCTTTCTCAGCTTGCTTTGTTAAAAATACTTAGAAATATCACAGAAAAAAAGGAACACCTGAGAAGCTATTTTTGTTATTATTGTTCTGAAATCTTAGCCCAGAGTATGAAAACCATTTCAAAAAAACTGCAGGCACCAATTTAGTGGTGTTTCTTTTCATGAATTTTAAATGCACTCAACAAGGAGCTGTTTTTGTTTATGTAAGAGAGTGTTAACAGACACTAGTGTCCTGTACATCATTTTCTTTAAAATGTTTCTAAAATGTAATTTGTGTAGAATTTAATATAAATGTTGTCTGACTGTGATACACACCCAAAGATTTAGAAGCATTATCATTTTACCAGATACTGGCAAAGCACAGGGAATACTTTGTAAGTTATATACATCAGTTTATATAGAGTATAATATGTATACATACATGGTGTATTTAACTTTTTAAAATTTAAAATATACTTTACATGTAGGATATTTAACTTGATAAAATTATAAAGATGTAGATATAATAATACTATTATTATTAAATTATGACTAACATGTCTGATAAAAAGCTATATTTGAGCCAGAATTAAAGAGTAATTCTGAAAGCATCAATAACAAGTTCAAATATTTAGTTGATTGGGGATGAACTTGTAAGCACTGCATAAACATGTGTGATCAGAAGCATAAAGAGGCCGTCACAGGAGCTTTCTTTGTGGAATGATTATGATATAACAGGGACAAATGGATTGAGAGATGAGGTCTCAATAGGTTTTCTCCAGTGTTCTTACAGCTCTAGATTGTTAAGTGGTGCTTTAACTCACACACTGATGCACTCCCAAGAAAAAATGATTTTCTAAAAATTCAGTATTTTCTATAAGCTGATTATTAGGAATCCTTGACAATGAATTCGAAGGAAATTTCCATTCACCTTATGGATGCCCTCAGCTTTATAAGTATAAATAGGTCATATATTAATGAGAAATATATGACAGTATCAAAGATCAAATTCTCATGTTTTCAGTCTAACTTTTGAGATGTTGATTAGATGGTTTTTATAAATATTTACTTGGTTTAAAAAAAAAAGCAAACAAATGAAGAAAACACCTACGGTTTTGTTTAATCAAACTACTGCTTTCCGATCATATAACCTTCTTTTAAGGACTCATTTTATCTCATTAAATTTGTGTCTCAATACACTGCATATGTGTTTATCACACACATTTTCACTTCAATTAATTCTAAGTATGGGGAGATGATGAAACAGTGTCTGTAAAAGTGTTATTTTATTATACATTGCAGGGTTTGTCTGATAAATTCTATTACAAAAATCATGTATTGCCAAATAACGGAAGGATTATATAATTTTAAGAAGATTCCATTGTATCTGGAAGCTTTATAGATGTGTGTATGCATACATATATGTGTGTATATATGTGTATGTATGTATATATGTATATGTGTGAGTGTATATGTACATAAGAATTGTTTTTCACAGGCAACTTTAGAATTGATCTTTTAAATCTGAATGTAATTTTGATCTAATATTGGAATCATTCTTAAGATCATATTCCTAAACTAATGTCAATAATGATTTCACTCTGTCTTGTCTTCTAGAATGTTGGCACAATTCTACACAACTCACAATAAGTGGGTTTCCTGTTCCTCTTTCCAAGGGAGCACAGGTTGTCTATGTTATCTACTTTATAGTGCAAATCTCAATAGCTCATTAAGGAATTCTAGGAAATACTTTAAACCTATGTATATTATATCACTAATTAATGCATCCCAAGAAACCTTTCTCTAACACTAACTTTGAAAACATCGGTGTTATCTGTATCCTCATCTTTAGGAGTCGGTGATAATAAACTTGAAGGAATTTTCCTGTTCACCCTGTGGATGTCAAAACAGTACCCTTAAGCAAAACTCTGGAAGGCAGTTGTCTCACAGACCAGCCAGTGACTGTCTGCAATGTTACACTGTCATAGGGACACCCCTTCCCACCATGTAGAAACATGTGTTTTGAGTTGTTCTTATTATTGCATCTCTCTTCTGTCTGGGGAAGGGTGTAGAGAACTCGGGAAAAAATTAATTCATAGTCAGGTACTGAAGATGGTGTGCTATCTTTCCCAAAATGTTCAAAGTTCACAGGAGAGAGAGAGACCGAGAGAAAGAAAGAAAGAGTGGGGGGGGGAGCCTTTTCTCAGTAAAATGTCAGGACTGATATCAAGGTTGGAGGAAACAAAACTTTTTTGGTGTCTCTACCATTGGTCTTTAATCTACTTTCTTCAAAGGAAAATTATGCTTTATGAATAAGTTTACTTAAGTAGGAAAACACATAGATTCCTTTCTTGTTCTTTACATCTCTAACTATCAGAGGGCTCTGTTGATGGTGGTGGGTCTTCGAGAATAAAAGCTAGAACAACACAGATGTCACATGTGTTAAGAATCTTTCAATAACATCTGAATATTCCCAAAGAAAAATATGGCGACACTGAAGTTTCTCCACTTCCATCCATGGCAACAGATATACTCTGCCAAGTTATCAAATCTTAGTATTGAATGATCCAATTTAGCACAGTCTCTGCTGATTAAATTAGTGACAAAATTTCCCCTTGAATCTCTCTGCCTAGTAAATTCTGATTTCTCCAACTCAGGGAAATATCTGCTGACTGTGTAACACCAAAACAGATAGTCGAGTCAGATTCTCAAAACAAAACGTAAAATTGAGGACTCCCTTAACCAAAACGTAAATGAAATTTTCATATTTTGTGTGAATGCTTTGTGTAGTCATCACCTAAAGTTTATTCCTCTGAACTGATACTGATTTCACAGTTTTAATGGTCCAAGGTAAGTTAACCAATAGCACTGTATCCAAGCTAAACTTGACAGGTTGTGAGTGAAAGCAGCTGCTCCTTTCTCTTCCAGGTTAGAGCTCATAATCACATCTTCTCCATCCTTCTCCATCTTTCCCCAGTATTTCCTTCCCATGTGCAATAAGCTAGATAGCATATTCGAGTATGGTGCCCCTACTGAATGAGGTAAACCAGAGCCTTACTAATTGATGTACTGAAGGGAATGTTTCAATATCTGTGACTAGAGCATGATTTTGATAGTAAAATTAAACAAAGCTTCTCAATTGGCAAATATATTTACTATTGAGTAAAAATTGACATTTTATCTGACCAAAAAAAAAAAAAGTTTTATTGTAGCATCTTAAAGAACCTTTTATACTGAGGTTTTCCTGCAGTGCCCTCCTGGCCTCTCCTGTGAAACACAAACAAATGTTTCCACATATATTCTAAGGAATGGTCCAAGGTCAATACCTTAGTTTACATAAATTTCAGGAATCTATCAAGCACTACCTTCAAAGTACGCTAAATAATCAACTGCAAGTAGCTGCTGCTTTTTTCCCATGGCTATGGAAGTGTAAAGAGCCGTGTTAACTTTCCAAATTCCATGCCTTCCCACTGCACATAGAAATATTTCATAGAGCATTTTTAGGAACTCTGAATATCAAAAGCAATCACTATGACAGTGGTTATTTAAATTATGCTTTCCTTTAAGAAAAAAAACTGTGGAAGGCAAGGTCAGAGAAAATGCAAGCAAGAAAAGAAAAGTGGTACAAAAGTAACCCAAACCCCCTACTTCCTGAGGCAGGTGCCCTACATTGGGCACATGAATGAATGAATGGGAGAATGAATGAAAGCCAGTCTTTTGAAAGACACAAATTAAACTTTGAATGACTGTTTAAAACTGAGGGCTTGGGAGTTAGGAAAAAGCTACTTACAAAGATTTATTAGTCCCTGCCTAGGATACATCTCTGTTGTTTGTTGGTGGCCATCTTTCGATGAGGATTTTAATATAAATTGGCCTTTGGCATTAATGGATAGCTGGCCAGATTCTTCTTTAGCCTAAATTGAGTCTGCTGATCTGTTCTCACTTTCCTTCATTTGTGTTTCTGAAAACTCCCTTCTAGCAAGGCCTAAACTGCAGCCACATTTAACTTCAACGTGCTTTTGTCATGAAGAAGGGACATCCTGCTCTCAGAGCTCTCCAAAGCTACCTCCGGCATCAGGGACTCCAACCTACCACTTGCTACCTGCTACTTTGGGTCTCTCCTGAGCAAGCAAGGGTTATGTTTGGTTGGTGCCAGTTTCCTGAATAAAATCCACAGCAACAAACTAGAGAATGATTTTCTCCAAGAGCTAGGAAGATTGCTGGAAGTGGGGACTGAGTTTTGGTGTCTCCTGGTAGAACTGAGTCCTACAAAATGAGGAGTGTGAGTAGGAACACTGAAACAAAAAGTAGCTCTCCATCTCCCTGAAGCCTCAGAAAAGTCACCTTAACCAGCACAGGCTGTTCCCTTCATCAACAAAGACCAGAGTTCTTTCAAAGGTGAAGAGAGGGGATCCAACGTGGAGCATCCTGGAGCTCTGGGACTCAATGGGATGGGAGCCTCTGTTTTGCACTGCCTCCCCACCTGCAGCTCAGCCGGCTGAAGGGGAGCCCTCCAAAGACAAAGCAAGCAGCCTGCTGGCCCGGAACCGCACCTGTCCGGAACGCTCCTGCCAGATCTCAGGCGTCTGATCCTCTTAACTCATTGAAAGAGGCTGGTCAGCCAGCCACCCCACCTGTGCTTGGATCTCCAAACCCTCTCCACAGGCCCCAGCAGACTGTCAACCCAACAAATAAAGCCTGCGGTTCTTGGAGCTGAATAAACGGAAGCATTCTAATCTCTGGGGGACGCTGGTCGGGTGAGGTATACCTGGGAGCCACCAGGAAGACTAGAGAAGCCAGGTGACTGCACAGCATTATCTCCTCGCCCCATTTCCGTTCTCCCTGGGAGTCTGAGAGATCCCTGCTGTGGCTTTTATCAGAACTAAGCCCTGCTGGAAAAAGCGATCTGAATTTAGTGAGAAAATACCTAGCGGGACCACAGAGACAACCCCAGCCCCGTGCACACAGCCCCAAATCACTGCTCGCCTCAGCCGCCTAGGAGTGCGAGCGGCTACTGCATAGTCCAGAGAGGCAGATGGAGTGGAGGGAGCGCGGGATGGAGTGGAAGGGACGCGGGTGGAGTGGAGGGGACGCGCGTGGAGGGGAAGCAAAGAGGAAAGAGAACTCAGAAAGAAAATTTCCAAGTTGGGTTGTTGTTTTTTAAGTTATGCTCAACTTACAACTATTTGCAACCTCCTCTGTGGTTCTTTTAAAATTAAGAACTTTCTAAATGTCCCTGGATATCAAAGGCTAAGAAGGTGTTGTCAGAGTCTCAGCTTACTAAACACTGATAAGCCCGGCCCCGGACTCAGTCATCACACTGTCTGTACAGTTTTTCAGATCAGGTTGCTTTCCTGCAAGTAGGACTCTGCTCTCAGTACGTACATATAAATTCTACGTAGACGGGTGTAGCTGGTGTGTATGTGTGTATATTTGTGTATACATATATACGTATACGTGTGCGAAATGTGCCTATGCGTGTAAAGTTACACATATTAATATAAACCTATAATATGGGATATATGTGTATGATATATGTGATTGGAGAGTAGAAATACTCAGATTTGATATTTTCAGAAACTAACCTGAATTGTATACAGGGGGAAAAAAAAGATGTACTTTGACACTTAAAGAAAAATGCAGTTCTAGTTCATAAGTAAAAAGAAATTGTACCAAGAGAAAGATTTTTTACTTCCTGCGTTATTTTTTTTTTTCCTTCAGCTATGGTGAGAGGCTGGTCTTTTCGGCCAGGGCATTCTGGAAACCAGCTGCCTGTCTCATCAGGGCAACCTCCACCTGGGGAAGCGCCATGCCCGCTGCCCAAGACAGAGGGGTGCGTGTGCACGGACCCTGTAGACGCATCTCCACGAAACCTGCCCAACTATTTCCAGAATCAACCGAGTCCCAGAAGCTGGGGCTCCTAGAGGTGCCACTGTGGCCCAAAGGAATACCGGCTGTCCCTCCCAGAACAGGTTTTGTTGGAGAGTGAGCAACTTACTTAACATACTGGCTTCGTGGGAGCCATTGACTTTGCCATCCGGGTAGATCTGCAGATGGAAGCCGATGCCCACTCTGCAGTACAGGCTGCCGGTCCGGCGCCCCGAAGGGCTCCACTGGAAACTGCTGTGCTCCGAGCCGCTTCCCGGGCTGCCCGGGGAAGCCGCGACTGGGGAGGAGGCAGAAGACGAGGAGGACGTCGTGCTACTTCTGCCCCGGCTGCCGCTGGAGTCTCCCGGGTTCCTCGGAGCCACGGGTTGCCCTTCGGGAGTGAGACGCTTCTCCCCGTGAGCCCAAGCGCTGAGGATCAGGTGGCTGCTGAAGAGGAGGAAGAGCAAGGACAAGCTCATTCTTCCGGCCGCGGGGGTCCTAAGTGCATCTTGCAGGGCTGGCTCCGGGCTCCGTAGCCCCCGCGCTGCTGCGTGCCTCTGGCGCTGCCTCCCTCGCCGCACAGGGTGGACATAGCCTCGGGGAAGGGAGAGGGAGAGGGGGAGAGAGAGAGAGGGAGAGAGAGAGGCCACCCGAGCGGATCTCGGCGCTGGCACCGGGATATTTATAACGCCAGTGATCTCACTGCTCCGTGCACGCCTGCGAAGCTTCCCCTCACCCGCCGCTTTGTGTACTCACTGGCCGGTGCGGGGAGGGAGCGCCGCGGTCCCGGGGGCGGGGGTGTGAAGGAGGAGGGAGAAGCGATCCCGGGAGTGGGAGGAGGTACCTGGCCCTCAGAAGCTGCCCCCCAGGACGTTGGCTGCGCCCAAGCACCCGCCACGCACCCCAGCGGTTCTCTGGAGCCCCAGGGTCACCCCACCCCTGGCCGAGCCAGCCGCGCGGGATTCGGCTCCGAGCGCGCCTCTCCGCGCGCAAGGGGCAAGGACGGAAACGTGGGCATGGGTTCCCGTCCTCAGTGGCCACGTGTGTCCCAGGCAACTCCCTCTTTACCCAGCACCCGATGTCCAAGTTGCTGGCCCCTACCACCTGGAGCCTGGGAACCACTTTCCGAAGGGAACCAAGAACTGATTGGCCACACAACTCGGGAAGGCTTTGTGGTGGCCCAGGTGGGAGAGAAGGCCGGTTTCCTAATGTTGTTGATTTATTAGAGAGCTAAGGTGTGCGCTTATTTCTTCGTTAGAAAGCCACCCTGAATCGTTATGCCAGAATTCAACTGCTGCCCTGTAACGAACTCAGCAAGTGAACGATGTGCCCAGTTTATCCTTCTGGAAAGTCCTGTGTCTGAGTTGGAACAGGTGAACGCCCACGAGGAAACACACACACACACACACACACACACACACACACACACACACACTTGAACTCAAGGCAAGGATGAAGTGGGTCTAAACACCAGGACATGTGACTGACTGCCCTGTTGTCCTGTCTGGCCCCATGATCCCCTTACCCAGAGGAATTAGCCAACAGCACTCTCTTCAACTTCCATTGACTGCAGGACCGACCCCAGTGAATGATTAATGACAACTCTGAATCTCAACTGGGAAACCCGAGAAGGGAGACTTTCCCTGTATGTAACGCTACGACTGTTATTTATCTGAGAAATATACCTGACTTGCATTCTTGGAATATTTCTGTCTGAAAACATATTTGAAACTTTAAACTACACTGTGATATATTACTCATTGGTCTTTTAAATGAAAAGTCAATGATACTGGCCAATAAGGTCAATCCACATAAGTCATGCTTGATGTTAAGTTATGACTTTATTCATTACTGAGTGTCTGCTTAAGATTTCCTATCTTAAAAATGAAAAACTGTAAGACGGATGTAGATTTGTTTTCAGAATTGCAAATTGTCTGTGGACAGAGTACAACTTTACAACAGACCTTCATTCACCTGAAAAAACACAAGGAGCCACCAAAGGGAAGAAAGGGGAGATCTAACACAAAGGATTGTAACAGGAGGCACAGTGCCACTGGCTGCTCCACAGCACACTTTCTGTGCGGAGTTCTCTTGTTCTAGGTCCATGCTGCACGTCTCTGGCTTACTTGAATTGGGAAGAGAGGCCCTCACAGAAGAGCCCATTGGTCAGCTGTCGCCCAAACCACCATGAGAACAATCCCAGGTTCCTTCCAAAAGGTTCACTTGAAAAGAGTCACCTCTTCCGGGGTGAATGGATTTAGCACGCTGAGACATTGTGCTACGCCTTCAGAAGAGGAAACCCTTGATCTGCATGGTTCAAACCACTTTTGTTGTCTCTGGATGACATCAGTAAACTCCTTGTGTGTCACCCAATCCACTGCCTATGACTAAACTCACAAATTTTTTTCAAAGCAAATTCTATTGCTGCCCTCCCCCATCCTGTGGAGTCCAGGGAAGGAACGGTTGAGTGACCTACCCCTCAGATGTCTGAGCACCCCCTTTGCTCCAGAGTGAGAGAAAGAGGAGGACTCTGGGAGTTTTGAAGAACTGAAGTTTGGCCTCTTTCTGTTCTGTCTGACTGAGACAGCAATTTCTGCCCCTCTTGTATCTGGCACGAGCCAAGCTGAAGATCAAATCCTTATCTAAGGGTGACTTAGAAAGACTGAGACTTCTGCTCAGGCTTTAGTCTGCCTCAGTTTGGAGCATGGCAAGATGACTTTTTCTGGTGTTCAAGGGTTTGGGTGGGGCTCACCTTTTAGGAGATAAGCCCCAGCTGCTGGGGGTGAAGTGATTAAATTTGGCAAAGCAACCTAACTTAACTCTCTTCTCAGAAGGATAAAACACGTGTACATGTGCGTAGAAAACCATGTCCCCCGCTGGTGCATGTAAGCAAATAGTGATTGCCATTAATTTAATATTGATAAAGGACTGTTAAACTGGTATGGAGCTCATTTAAGAGGAGCTACACAAACTGAGGCAGAGGAACTGAGACAACAACAGCATGCCTGTCACTTGTGAGTGAGCTGAGTGACCACCCCCACCCCCACCCCCCACCCCCCAACTACCCCACCCCACCCTAACCCCGCAACTCAGTTAGTGTTCCACACACTAGAGCTGTGCATGCCTGCAGTGCCTACATCCTTTCTCACACATGACTAGCTGGTCTCAGCCAAACCTGGGCTCACAGCGAATTCACTGTTGTGGGCAAAAATCTCTCATTTCATTGTCTTGGCTGCTCTGGATTCGTTCCAGTGAATTCTACCCCAACGTGAGTGCAATCCTATACCACATTTTTTTTTCAGGTGGCTTTCTAAAAGGCTATGTCACACTGCCTCCCCTGCTGGTATAGTCCCATAGTTGCTGTTTATGAGCCACTGAAACCTGGACACAGTTCCTGAAAGCCTGAACCCATAGCCAGCACCATCGTGTTATTCCTACTCTCACAGAACTGAGAAGCAAGACCTGGAAAAAAAAGCATGCTGCTATCTGTCTGCTTTATAAAGCAAACAGTTCTAGAAGAGTGATGTGTATGTACTCATTGCCATCTAACAGAGCAATGGAAAGCTCACCAAACTGATTGCGTCCGCCAATCATCTAGGTGCCAGGCTTGGGGTGTGCAGTCAGTTTGGCTCCATCCCATCATGTTGATTTTCTACAGCCCTATTTCTTCAGGCTCACTTGCTGTCACTTTATTGACCTAAACCTCACATTTGGAAGCGCCACCACCTTGGACTCCCTTTTTCTTGACCATAGCATCTGGACCCTTCCAGGCCTCTCCTATGTCTTTGAGGAGAATATCAGCTTCATCATTGATCCATTTTCTAGCCCCCATGAACTGGATGGAAGATGAAATACACTACCCTCGGTTTAGATCTTGGAAGCCTAAGAAGACAGAGGTTAGGATAAATGCTTCCTTTTATCCAAGGAAGAGGTTCATGACCTCCCACTGGTTATAAGCCAAGTCCTAGCCTTGCTGGGGCAGGACTTACAAGACATCACTCCTACATTGCATCATGCTGGGACCAGGAAGGGCAAAGATGCAGACAGTGTCTTAGGATGCAGTCCAAGCCATCCTAGAGACCCTCCCACCTGGAAGCAGACTCCTGTGCCAGGACCCTGCATAGATCTCTGGTCCAAAGCTTCCCTTGAACCAAATCTCTGCTCCTGGAAATGCAAGTGCTTGGTGGAGTCTGTGTGTTTGAGGGTCTGTTACTCATAAAGCTGGAAGGCAAGGCCTCTCTTTGATATGAGAAAACAGAATTTTTTTTTCTGCAAAAGCTTTGTTAACCCTGGTTTTAAAGGGCTCTGTGGCTCGTACCATTCCTGCCCCATTTCTATGCTCAGAGAGGTTATCCACATAACAATACACATCATATTTTGCCAACCAGGTTCTCAGGGGTGCCATACACATTTTCAAGAAGGCTGCTATGGACTGAATATGTATGATACCTCAAAGTTCACATTGAACCCCTAAGCTCCAGTATAATGCTATTTGGAGATGGAATTTTGAGGAAGTAATTGAGCCCTGGGAATGGATTCCTCATAAACCAGTGCCCTTATAAGAAGGGACGGGAAAGAGATTCCACCCCCTCCATATGAGGAAATCAGAGAATGCTCATCCTAGAGTAGCCAAAAGGCACCTTGATCTCGGCCTTCCCAGACACTGGAACTGGGAGCATACTTATGTGTTTTCCAAGCCATCCAGTCTCTCACCTTCTTGTTAAAACAGCTGAAGACAGAAAGCAATGAGGTTGCCTGTGGAAGTAGTTAGGAGCTGACCTGTGGGGCCCTCAGACCATGCAGTTGCCAGGACCCTTTATTCCCTCCAGGCCTGGCTTCCCACCAGCCGAGCTGGCAGCCATTACAGCAGCAAGACTGCCTGTGGCTACAGGAGCAGGCTGAACAGGTTGAGAAGGGTGGGAAGGGACTTCTGTGTGAGAAGAAAACCAAGAGGAGCACAAGGGGCTTAGATCTCTTCCCTTGTCTTCATAGTCCATTGATTTCCTCTCTGAAGGGGTGATGGTTGGAAATGGCCCTCTTCGACGTTTGCAGCTTCGGATGTAAAAAGACCTCCTGTAAGTAGAATGAAGTCAATGATATCAGCGATGTCTTTCTCAGTAGAGTTCAGTTCCTGGGCATTTGAACTAACCTAGTGACTGTTCTTGTTTTAGCTTCTGTATAGACTCATGCACCGAGTTCCCAAAGACCACAGGATGCCAATTATCTCAGTGCACAAGATTCAATAGTGGAGAAATAACCACTTTAAAGGGTCTAGTGGTCAGCAGAAGAGATTTCTGATGTTTAATACACATGGGTAAAAAAAAAAAATCATGATTTCAAGCCTTTCCCCAAAACAGAGCCCTGTGCAACCCTGGGCAAGGTCCACAGACAACCTCAATGTGTGATAGATTTTGTTATTGGCACTATCTATTTCTAATAATCCCAAAGAGTACATTGTGAGCACACAGGGAGAGTCTCTACTCTCAACAAGGCATTGAGTAGGAAATCATGGGTGTTTCTCATCCGTGCAGAAGGAGGAGGATGACAATAAGGTCTGCTCTTCAGATAGGTCTATTAGCACTCTGAATAGTTTGTCTCTAGAGAGGCAGGCCATAAGCAAATGGGTATATACTCAAGAAAAATGGGGGAAGACTGTAGGAAGAAGAGAAAGGCTGCATGGTCACCTAGGAAACTCTTCTTGTGTCCAATGGAAAAGGTGAGAAGCAAACAGGTGTAAGACAAATTGATAAACGGTCTTATTAATTAAAAAAAAAAACAGAGCCAG